AAGAGAGCTCTGACATCAGGCCTCTATGTGAAACTTCAGAGAGGCCATTATCCATCTGAGAACACTGTATGGACAGCTTTGTTTCGATGAGGCACCTAAAGAGCCGTTTAAAGAACTGAAAATGCAGGTTTAATGCAGGTGACACGTCCCAGCAAAACTTGTGTGGTAGAGCCTGCCATCCCTGCAGGGCAGCATTCCCAGCACTTAGCCAGCTCCTGCCAGTACCGCACTCCCTGTGGAGCCTGTGCACTTGTCAGTGCAGAGCCCATGCTTCAGAGAACACCAGACCCAGGGAAACCCTCTCGGGCAGCACCCTGGTCTAACTAAAGAGGATTTCTTGTCTCAGTTTATGCCCAGAAGACAAACATGGCATGCCCCACCCCAGTCAAAAGGCTAGTTATTCCATACAGAACCTGCTGCGTGCTCTTCCACTGAGCAGCGACCCGTGCGCAGCTGCAGTGGCAGCTCCCCATCAAGTACTCCTCACAGACTGATATCACTCCTTCCTCTGGGGAACTCTAGAGCCCAGCACCCTCCTAACCTCAGTCTCCTCTCAGTGACAATGGCTTCCTGTCCCTTCCTAGTCCCTGGCCATGTCTTGGAGCTTCAATGTTCATGGGTGGATCTCTTCAAGCTTTCAGTTTGATGTCCTTGATTCTCAGCATCACCTCTGACAGCCTGTCTCTGCCTGAGCCTTGTCTCAGAGGACTACTCATTCCACTGGGGTTGGGGGAGTAGTCCCCCGACCTAAATGAGCATCCCTGCCTGTAAGCTATACACGGGGATGTGGCTGAAACAGAGGCACTGGACATCTTGCTAGGGGGCTGGGTTGACCAGCTCATCTTCCCACACTTCACTCCAGTTTCTTCCATTAGACCCCAGGCTAAGCAGCTTTATGGTACTGCAATTTCTAGGACTCGCTCCTGCTGTCTGGAAGCTCTGCCTTTTTTTTTCTCTCAAGCTCCCAACTACAGACTTATGAAGTGCCTCATTAAGCTCACTCTCCTGTTCTCTGTGAATATCAATGGGTTCCAGAGACAAAGAACCTGGAAGGCCCTGGTCCCAAGCTGTTTTGGTGGCCACTGCTTTGTCCAGTACTCTAGCACCATTATGATCATCTGAGACAGAGAGAGAGGCTTCACGCCTCTCAGAGCCCACATTTCCAGGTGAGTGTCAGTGCTGTGGCCCGTCGCTGTGTTCTCTGTGCACTGCCTCCTCTGGCTCCTGATCCTCTACTACCTTCTGGGCATCTCTGCTCCCTTCCCGCTCCTCGTCCCCATGCTGTCCACTCCACCAGACCTTAGATGAGCCCCATATCTGCTCCTGTTTCCTACTTTTTCTCACCCTGTCAAGCACAGAGCACAGCGGAGGCAGGCCCAAGCCTCCTGCTGATACTCACAGTCTCTGCTTGTTGCCCAGCAACACCTTCCCTTCTGATCCTCCTCAGAGCCTGAAAGCTGTTGTTCCCTTCTTACCTTCCATCTTACACATTGCCCCCCAAAGCCCTGACTGATGTGATCAGAGGGCAGCCAGATGTCCCTGTTTGTAGAATTTGTTCCTGTCCTGGTAATTGCGTCCTTGGCTGCACCAAGTCTCCATGCCTGTCCTTGGCCTGCAAAGCCTGGCCCAGGCAGGCGGTCTTCTCCCTGAGGCCACCACTGGCCACCACTGTGCATCTTCCTCTCTTTCCCCTCCACTCAAAACATAGAATATCTGCTTTGGGAAAAGCTGGCCCATGTTTTATTAATGCATTGCAGGTACTATGAGCTAAAGGACTTCCAACAAACATAGCAAATAAATGCAAATTTATACATTTATGCAAACTAACATTGAAAATATTCCTTTAGGTTTTCTGGGGAAAAGTCTGATCACTCTGAGAATACCCCCACAGCTTTGCAATTCCTTGTCTCTTGAACTTATTGCTTGCTTAATACCTGTCCACACTCAGCTCTTGCCTCCTGGTCTGGGCTAACTAATTACCACTGGCCAACACCTTTGTTTTTTCTTCTTTTTCACCAGATGTGAGGTGAAACACATAGATGAAGGCTGTAACTGTTAGAAATTGTCTGTTTCCCTTGGGTTTAATTTACATTTATCTCATTAAGTCTGACTTTTCACTCACTTTCCTCAGTACTGTCCGCTTGTCTTTGCCTTTTAACAATGCAAGCACATCTGCATTCTGCAGAACATGGTGATGTGCTGTGCACATCCCTAGAAGTTAGGGTGCAGTATTCTTAGCGTGAGCACAGGCTCCTGTCCATGCCCCGCAACCCCTGCGGCCTCTATCAGCTGCCACTCTCCACCTGTGATGGACAACATGGCTTCCCACCTTCCAGACAACTCCTAGAGACCACCCCTCCGGCAGCTCGGTTCTTCTCCCTGAGCGCTGGGGCTGCTGTGCACGAGCTTTCTGTCCTTTGGTTTCTCTGTACCATGGCCTGCCTCCCATAGTTCCTTATCCTAGGGCCATCTCAGTTTGTCTCATGGTGGTTTCTGGTTCACATTCTTCCAATCATTATTCCTGACCTTTCTGGGCCCTTGTGTGACATGATGTGGTATGGCCTAGCCTTGTGGATGCTCTCACTCTCCTCTGGGTACCAGGAGACTCAGTGTTCATCATTGTTTTTGCCTCTTGCTGCCCTATAGATCTGGAGCCTAGCTCCTTCCCAGACTTCTGCTTCTGCTCTCAAAGAGCTCAGGGGCTCACACACTAGCCTGGTTCCTGTGAGATGTAAGACCCCTGTGAACCATCAAGAGGGTTTGGCTCTTGTGTACTTAGCCTCTAAGAGCAGCTGGGGCTAAGATTTTCCCTAGTTGTATAGATGAAGAGCCTGAGGTACAGGCAGAGGAGTATCCTGCCTCAAAGCTCCAAAGGCAATAAATAACAGCACTAGGATTCTAGTCCAGGCCTGTCCAGAACCTTAGCCCTGACCTTACAATAAACCTTCTTGATTTCTCAGACACTGAAAGATGTCTTTCACTGCTTTGCTTCAAGTAGCTGGGCCAAGGTCTCTTGATGTTTCAGGGCAGAAGAGCCTGTGGATTCCAGGGACTCTCTGCAGGCACTAGAGAACTCAGCATTTAAGAAAGAATCTTCTGAGCAAGAGAAGCTGAACTGCCCCAAATTTGCAAGCAGGCTACTTTCAGTCTGCCTTCAATCTGAGTGGTTTCCGAAGACATCAGGGCACACTGAGAAAGATCTGGTGGGTATGTGATTACTATGCCCCACTGGCAAGACCACTACGCTGGATAGTATCTACAGGCCTGGTGATGCTAACAGGCTGGCCTTCCCTGTCTTACTTCCCCTGTGCTTGCCACCTGGCTGGCTCCTTAGAAAGGAAAGTACTTGCCAGGAGCTGGTGGCTTGACAAGCTCTAAGGGGGAAACAGAAACCTCTCCTGGGGTGACTTTCCTATTGATCTTTTGTCTCAAGTGTTCCCCTTGGGGATGAACAAGAAACACTTCTCTGAATAATTCATCATTGGCCCTGAGGTAGAAACATATTACTTCTTTTTAATAAGAACTGGGCATTTTGTGTTGATTTTAATTCTTCTGCAATGGTCTAGCAAAAGCTGGGAGACTTGAAAAGCTGTTAACACATCCCTCTTTCAATACTGAGAATAAAATAAAAAGCCAGGTAATATCTTTAATCAAACAGACTAAGGTTTGGATAATATGTAAAATTATTTATAAAGCTATGTTGAGTTAGAGTGCTCATAAAAGGAATATGAAAAAAAATTGACTGTAATTATTACAAGGCATGATTTATTTTTGAAACTGAAAATGACTGCCTCTGGTTTTCTATTTAATGAACACCTACTAGGTACCAGGAACTCTGCTGGGCTTGTACTCAAGTCATTTTGTTTAGCTCTCACATAGCCCACAAGGGTAAGCAGCAGCCCAAGTCACAGAAATGCCAATGCTCCTGGAGATTAAGCAACAAGTCCAGGTTCGAGTTCAGACCTAACCCTCAGGCACATGCTCCTCTGGTAAACAGCATTTTCAGTTCATCATTATTGTTCTGCCAAATGCCAGCAGTTACAGCGCAGCCCTCTCCACTCTACAGCCCTGAGGAGAGGTGGCGAGACGGTGAAGTCTGAGGGATCCTTCTGAGTACATTTTACCAAGTGGTTACAAATCCACATCCTCTCCATCCTAGACACACAGCCAGTCTAACAGAAGGACTTCTTGCAAAATGGACATGGAGCCACAGATAGCGACTGGGCTCTTCTTGGGTTTAAAGAGAGTGAGAGGTACCACTGGGACCTGATCTCTGTCCCAGGATTCTGTACCCAGTGCCCCGGACCCCATCTCACATAACTGTCTGATGACAAGCATGAGCTCCCAGGGTCACAGATGTGAAAGACACTTATCTCACCTTCTCTGCAAGGCAGCCCTCTTTCTTTCCTGTGGGCTATTAAATGATAGAGGCCCTCTGCTAAGAACCAAATGACCTCAGAACCCGAGCTTGGAGCACTGGTCCAGGCGAGGCCCTGTGGCTTTCCACCAACTCAGAATACAGACCTTTGTGTTCAGCTCAGAATCCCACAGGAAGGAGACACAGACAGAATGCTTTTCTGGGGGAAGGAACGACATACATATCTTCCTATAGTGGGATGATGCCTACAGGCCAGTACCCTGAAGGCAAACCAGAGTCTCTGGATCCCTCAGAAGTCTCTGGTATGTATGGATACTTCCTTACAGTGGCTGCTGCAAGCAGTGTAGAGGTCGAGATGACAATGATGTTGATCAGCACTGCAAGATAGTCCTTATTGAACCTAGAGCCACAGGGTGATTTTGAGTGCTGCCCTAACTGCCCCACTGCACCTAATAGGACCTTAGGTGAGACAGTTGGCTTGGTACTGTCACCTCCCAGGGTATCACAGGAACTGCCTGTTGGCTTTGGGAACCAGTGGCCATGAGGGTTGTGGGCTACTTGCTGCTTCCAAGGAGAGCCCCACTCTGAGAAACGGGAGCCCTGGCCTTGGTCCCAGACTCACCAGTCGCTGCATGCTCTTCACATGAGTAGGACTGATGGATAAGGCTTCTTCATACCACCGCCGGGCCTCATCAAAGTTTCCTCGAAGCTCAGCAACCTGGCCCCGCATGTATAGGACATTGTGGGACATTGGGAAGAGGTTGGCAGCTTCTTGGGTACAGGCTGTGGCTTCAGCAGGCTTTCCAATGCCAATGTAGACCTCAGCTGTGGGAGTAGAGCAGAAAACAGATGCTATCCTGGATCACTGCCCTCAGAGACCCTGGGAGTAGATAGATGGTACTTGGCTTGGGGACTTTCACATTCCCCTACAGGAGTTTGGCAGGGCGCAGAGCCAGCTGTTCCCTATCCCCCTGGACGTGGCTATAGGCCAATAGTCTTTTGTGCCCACTTGTGCCCAGATCACTTGTGCTTTGGTCCTTGAAGGACAGACATATGTCACCACCAAACCAACGGAAGTGAGGCCTGCCTGGGCTCTGCCCCAACCTCTGAGGACAGTTGTCCCAGCCCCACTTAAAGCCCTTTAGCACTAGGACAGAAGCTGCCCTTGGCTCTGCTCATCACAGACAAAGGGCTGAAATGAGTTCAGGGACAAATAGACCAGAGGCACACAGCCATGCACAGAGAAACGGCCCTGCCCTCCAGAGCTTGCTCTTCTGAGGCTAAAAGCATGACAAAGGGGCTTTCTGAGAGCCTAGTACATCCAGGAGTGTCCTTTATGAAACTCAAAGTAGCAGTCTGTTTGAGACATTTCTGAGAACTGAGCTTGGTTTAGGTACTGGCAGATGTCTTCCGAGTCACCTGTGTGTGGCAGGCAGGGCTGGATAAAAAGAGTACAGCACTGACTATTCTCTGTCACTTGGGATAAGCCAACAGGCAGCCAGAGATAGACTGTAGACTCTCTGACCTCTCTAGGCTTTTTCTCTTACCCCAGACCCCCTGGAGAGAGACACCAAAGAGGACAGGGTGTCCCAGCAGGATGCACACAGGGGCCTGGGGTACAAAAGGTGCTGAGAGCATGCCTGCTGTGTGCCCTGGAACTCGCTCTTCCATACAAAACTTAGGACTCGTGAAATATTGGAGTAGGTTTCCTGTCATCCGTCTAAGTGGTCAGGGCCCAGGAAGGCCCCCATCCTCCTCAGCCCTCATTTCACCAGTGCTTTGCTCTGTCTGGGAGGGTTGGCAGTGAGAAGGGGTGGGGACTCTACTGCCTCACCCCAAACATTTTGGGGACAGACCCAATGATGGGCCCTGCAGTCCCCAACTTGAGCATAGCCTAGGCCCTGCTCTCACAGATGGCCTTAGCCACACAGCTTCCTCCTGTCTCTGAATTCGTGGCTGGCTGTGGCAGTCTGTCAAGAGGGATTCCCTTCCTGTGGCTCAGTGGCAGAGGGAGACACACTCCTCATCCACCAGTGAGATACTTCAGCCCTTCTCGGCCATGACCCAGCGGTTCCAACTCAGGAAATTTCTTGGGTGAAGCCACTCCATTGGTGACCTTGACTCATCAATTTGAGGAGCCAGAAGCCTGCAAGGCAGGGCAGAGCATCTTCCTGCCACCACACCGACAACAATGCTTTCTGTACCCACCCGCTCTGCAACCTATCCTGTGGCTGAGCCCCTCCCCCAAATCTCACTAAAGAATTCTGTACCCACACAGTTCCTGTCTGGAGGTGCTGAAGGTCTTCACCGGGTTATCCGGATGGTCATCAGCAGCTGTGCCAGCCATTGCACACACCCAGTCTGCCATCCCACCTCCCTCCCTATCCCCCCTGCGCCGACCCACAGGGATTCTCCCTGCAAGGATGACGCGCGCGCTCTCTGCCTACACTTCCTGTCATCCACTCTGCACCCTTGGCAGACGGTTTGCAGCCCACCACTGTGCTAACCCTGAGCTTGCCTGGGCCCCCAGCAGCTCCCTCCCTTTAGACTCACTGGGTAATTTGTCTTTACTGTAGCACACAGCCACGTGCAGAAGAGTTCTCCCTGGCCTGGGTGAGGAACAACCCCAAGGTCAGTGGGTGAGCTTGCTGCATAAGCATGAAGAACCCAGTGCAGATCCCCAGGACCCAGGTGTGATTGCTCACATCCATCACCCCAGCTCTGTGGTGGGTTAGAACAAGAAGACCACTGGGGCTTGCTAGCTTGCCAGCCAACCAAAAATGGTGGATTCCAGGTTCAGTGAGACTCTGTCTTAAGAAGCAAAACAGACAGCTACAGAGAAGCCACCCAGAACCCTCCTCTGGTCTCTACATGCCAGCGCACAAATGCATATAGTACACACAGGCACCCCTCCCCCACAGATATATACTCTCAGATTTCCCTGGTGGATAGTGTTACGTACTGATCATGTCACCATGTGTGACTGTTCCAGTTTCCTTACTTTGCTCAGCGGGATGAGAACTAACTTGTCTGTGTCCCACCATTAACAAGAGGAAGGAGCTAGAATTACGTGTGCGCTAATTGAACCTGCTAATACTCTAGTGGGGCTGCACCACAGCCCTTATCTTACTTTTTGACTTTGGGTCTCACTAAATCACCAGGTTGGTTTTGAACCACCTCTGCAGTTCAGACAGGCCTGAATTTGCTTTTGTCAGTTGTTTTATCTCAACAATGAGATAAATAACAAATATCCACTCTGAACTCTCCTCTGTGACTCCCACCTTTACTGCCTTCTGTCATTCCATGCTTACTTGCAGGGAGCTTTTAACATCCCAGTCAGACCTCTTCCACTCGAAAAGCTTCGGGCTATTAGGATTGAGCTCTTAGGCCTGGCTGACGTCCCTTGGGTCCTATGAGGCACTGTCACAGCTCACACCACCTGCAGGACTTACGAGCTGTGCCTCGAGGGCGGGGCTGCCCCCTCCCCATTGTTCCTGCCCAGCGCTAACCAAACTTCTGGTCTGCTCAGATGTGCAGGCCTTCTCTATTGCTTCCTGCTTCTTGCTTTGGCAAGACTTTTTGTTCCCAGGGGTCACAGGAGCTGCACTGTTTGTTCCTGGCACTTGGCACATGGCAGTCACAGGCTTCTGCGACTGTTGTTCTGTATGTGCAGGGCCTAGGAAGGCAGGGACTGAGTGTTTGTCTCCATGACCGCTGCGTGCAGAGCCTGGCACACAACCAGACACTTGACAAGGCTACATGGACCAACTGAAGGTCCGAGCAGGGCTGGGGGCTGCACAGGTTGGCTCTGAACTTAGGCCTCCTGACATGTGAGCCTTGCATCTGGAGACGAGTGACCTGACAGCTCTGCCTCAGGTATGATGGAGACCAAACCAGTCACAGAGCTACTGGCAAAATATCTGAACCATTGTGATTGGTGAGAGCCAGCTATACAAAAGGTAAGGAGTATTAATCCAAACTCTACAGATGAAGAAGAGGCTGGCAGGGCAGGGCTGGCCCACAGGACTCTGTGTCTAAGACACTCCTGTGCACTTGCCCATTTTCCATGTGTCTAGAAACTGTCTATCTCTTCATGGTGGACAAACCACAGTGCCTCTAGATTCTGCTGCTGCAACCTTGTGGTGGCTGGGAGAAGCTAAAGAGGGGAAGGGGTCAGGCCAAGGCTAAAGAAACTGTGACAGCTTCAAATTCCCAGCAGAAATCAAAAAATCTGATCTTGCACATCTAAGAATAGCTGCTGGTTTCGGCTGTGAGAGGTGCCAAAGTGAAAGCTATAATTATTAGTAAGTAACAAGCAGAAATTAACCACCTACCGCAAAGGCATTTTTAGCTGCCATCCCAATGTGGGTACCCAGAAGTTGCCTGGCTTGGAAGGGGTCTGGCTGGGCTCTGAATTCCTGGTGCTGTCTGACTTCCCAGTGGGCACAAAGAGGCCTGCTGTGTCTGGGAGAGAGGGGCTCCCTCAGTTCCAGTGAGTCTGCGCTGAGTGTCACCCCGTGCTCTGTTCTAGTTCTCCTGGCTTTTGCCCTGGGAACACTGTGCCATGCTCACAGCTGTCTATGGGCTTCCCCTGTTGCAAGGCAGGGGTGTCCTCCTCCTTCCCTTCTCTGTGGGAGACAGAGTGCAAATGATGCCACAGGATTCTTTGCACTTTCAGGAAAAAAAGAGCGAAAGCTGGGGACCTGATTTCTAAGTATCACGGGAAGCTCAGATGCTGTAAGAAAAGATGATTAAGTGTAATCCTGGGGTGGGAGGTTACAGAAAAAGCAGAAGGACTGGGGAGGTGGCTCAGCTGGCTAAGTGTTAGCTCAATAAGCATCTGAGTTTAATCCTCAGAACTCACATAAAGAAGCCAGATACGATAACATGCTGGTACCATCCCAGCATTGAGAGGCAGACAAAGGTGGATTCCTGGGACTCAGTGGCCAGTCAGCCTAACTAGTTTAGTGAGCTCTAGGCTTGTGAGGAACCCTGCCTTAAGCACACAAACAAGGTAGGCACTATATGTGCACTGACAGCCAAGGTTGTACTCTAGCTTCTACGTGCACACACACATATATGTGTACACACACACACACACACACACACACACACACACACACACACGGCGCAAGTGAATTTCATCAGTATATAGTAAGTGATTTATGAGTAAAAGGAGATGCTTGACATCTAAGAAGATATGTGGGTAAAAGGCACGAGTAGCCAACGAAAACACCATCTTTCACGCATCCAACTGGTAAAGTTCCAGGATTTTGAGAATGCGTGTTAGTGGCAAGGAGATAAGGAAATACACTCACATGCTGTTGACTGGAATAGAAATTGGTACAGCTCTGTGGGAGGTCACATGACTACATTTATCCAAATTAAAGAGTATACACTGCTTGACCCATCAGATCCAGTCTTTGGAGTTGATCTTAGGACAGAACAATACGTATCAGTACACGTAGTGAAACGCTGTCTGCTGTGGCAGAGTCCGGGAATGATGAAGCAGTGTTCTGCTGGCATCGTGATGTTTCCTACTGTGGAACTGCTCATGCGGCTGTAAGAAGTCAGCACCACAAAGGCTGATGGGCAATGATCTCCCAGACACTGGAAGGGACATGGGGAGAAGGCAGCAGGGACAGAGCTAGGAATGGGTAAAACCTCTGGAAGGTGCCAGAACTACCAGGTGCAACAGGTGACTGAGACATGAGGACAAGGGGAGCCTTTCCACTTTACACCCTTCCCACATGTTCATGTACCATGAAAGTGTGTTAGCTAAAAAAATATTCAAATAAATTTGTGACATCGGTCTAAACCAACAAAAGTCCAAACATGCACAGCCAAGGCTGTGCTGGCTACCAGGCTTCCTAGTGAGGGTCTGTGTTCTGGGGTCAGAGGCATCCAAGATGAACAAGCAGGCAGTGAGGGGAGGAAGTACCCATTCCCCAGGAAGAAAAGCACCCCTCACTTCCTGTGCCCCAGCTTTTCTGTTCTTGAGGCTCATGTGTCATGCTCACAGTTTTCGCACCATCAGAAACACAGCCCAGAAACCCTGATATGGATGGCTGGAACCTGATACTGTCTCAGAGAGACCTTTCTTTCCTGAGAGACTCAAATCCAGGGCCGCCTCCACCACAGCCTCCTTCACAAGGTCCACTGATCTCAGGTCACCAGAAAAAACAACCAGGTAAGAACAGGCTCACAAACATCACAGAAACAAGGCAGCTTGGCAGCCAGGCTCCGATTTCATCTCTCTAAGCCTTGCCAAACGTGTGGACTCTGAATCTTGTCAGGCTGGCTGGTGCTATCTGGTTTCCATAAACCATCAAAAAGGGAGGTGATTTGTTCTACTCCTCAGAGCAGCCGCACACAAGCTGCATGGGGCGAGCCCCGCAGTTCAGCAGGCACCACCTCTTTTCTTCTCATGTCACCCCTTGAAGGGCTATGCAAACGTGGCATGCTAATGATTAGAACAAGCTGACAGGGTGCAAGTGCTGAGAAGACTCTACTTGGCCTCACCCACCCACAGGACACACCACACTCACTGCATGTTCATGCTCATCTGCCCACAGGCTGGAAGGCAAGATTGGCACCTGCTTTCTGCAGTTCCATCCCAGTAAGGCCACACCAGCGAGCTAGTAGTATGCCACAGTGATGAAACTGGAAAGTTACTCTGAATGCAATCTTTGTCATTGAGTTCTTCACCATTCTGGTAACAACTATAAAATTTCCTTCCCAGGAGTCATGGCTGGCCATGCAAAGAGAAGCTACAGCCCTGGACAACTGAGTGGTGACAGGGTTGAGGGAGAGTGTCAACAACCTCTAGGCCAATGGTTCTCAACCTTCCTAATGCTGTGACCCTTTAATACAGCACCTCATGTTGTGGTGACCCCCCCAACCATAAAATTATTTTCACTTCTCCTTCATGACTATAATTTTGCTGTTATGATTGTAATGTAAATATTTTTGGAGACAGAGGTTTTCCAAATGGGTCACAACCCACAGGTCGAAAACCAACATTTTAGGCCAAACTTTCTGGCATTTTGTAGTGCCCAGCTCTAAGTGTTCTGAGAAGGGGCTAGTGCGGTGGCGAGGTGGGTAAAAACAAAACAAAACAAAACAAAACAAACTTCCAATGCAAGCCTGATTGTGTGCTTTTCAAAAACTAGACTTGAAGACAATGTGAAAGTTAGCTGTACCCTGTGTCAGCCCTGTATGTTGAGTCAGGCTTTCCTAGTCTGGTCATTAAACAACACACAGTCCCTCTCTATCCTCTGAGGTCAATGTCCATACAGGGGACTAAGCAAGATAATATCAGACTCCTGTGCAGGGTCTGGGCTGTTCTGAAGAAAGATGGAAATGGCCTTCCTTCTGGGCCCTAGCTCTCAGAGGCAGCCTGTCCTGACCCCTTTGGGGAATAAGTGGAGAGGAAGGAACAATCACACACATGTATGAATCAGCCCTCTTGTGTACTTAGAAGAATATAATGTTAATTAACAGCAGTTGTTATGGATTAATAAAGGATTCTAACACTGAAAATGCCGACAGGCTAGTTCTGTGGCTGGCTGTATCTTCACACATGCATATCTGCTAATGGGGACACGCAACATAGGACATCACACGACTGGCCCAGAGAACGAGGGCATAAACAGATGGAGAGCTTGTGGTAATGGGTGCCCTTCCTAGTATCACTTGGGCTCCGAGCATGTTCCTGGTTGGTGGTAAGCCTGAGAAAGGGCCACCAGGGTCATGCAGGTGAAGTGATAAAACATGAGAGACAGGTTATTTTCTCAGAAATAGAAATATGAATATATACTAACTGCCATCACTTTTTTGGGAGCTTGCCATGTAAAACAGGGTTGTTCAAACTTCACATGCTATACTTAATTCTGTGCAAGCTGTGGGCAGCCTTGCACAGCCAGCTGACTACCACATGAAACCAGGGCAGAGGGGATCATGCTTCCTCTGGGCCAGTGTTCAGACAGGGGCTGTTGCTACCATTTCTCCCTCCGCAGGTTACCAGGTGTGCCTTTGGGGGAAGTGGGAACACCAAACACACCACCCTGCCCTGGCTTGGATAAAGGCTTCTGTGCCAGCAACACTCCTAACCCATTGTCCAGAGACTCAGAGACTAGATGGTGAGATGTGCCAGGCATTGGGCCCCTGACCCCAGGAAACAAGTGCTACTCTAACCCTTCTGTGTAGAAGAACAAACCGAGGCTGAGAGGTGAGGCAGAGCTGGAGTCTACCCAGCTGAGAAACAGTACAGGTGGAATTCACTCTGTCACCTATGAACAGCATGAGGTACAAGACTGGACCCCTCTATAGCACAAGAACCCCTCACCCTGCAAACCCCTCAGGGGTCCCCAGTCCAATTTTCTACTGAATGCCTGCCTGGCTCAAGTGTCGTCATTGAGGATGGATGAGGAGATGAAGGTTAGCACATGGTCCCTGTACAGGTGCAGTATCAGGTTGGTGCTTGGCCACAAAAGCTTTTAGTTCTCTCAAAGGCTGAGGTGTTCTCGGCTAACCAGTTGGATAGGCGCCTGCAGAAGTCAGCACCCTCAGGATGAGCAGCAGCTTGTGGGCAAGGATGAGCAGACGAAGAGGCCCATGGGGTCAAGGGCCGAGTGGGAGCGGTACCTGCATGGAGCCAGATCTGTGCCAGTGTCATCCAGGGATGCAGCGGACCCTGCTTGGGGGCACTGCTCTGCAGAGATGAGGCCACTTCTGACAGGGCTTGCTCCACTCGTGAAGCTGCTACTGATGTGGCATGGACGGAGCCTGTGGGAGGTTTCAAGACTATGTTAGGATTTGGGGGGGGGGGGAAAGCCTCTTCCCTGAGCAATGACACCCTCCCAAACACAGACACGAGTATGAACACCCCCCTTCCCCAGGATGCGAACTACTGTTCCTAAAGAAATGAGGTGGGGCAACCACTATGGCCTGGAATCTTAGCTTCGCCCTCTACCTAGCTGACCCTTTAGTCAACACACAGGGCACATGCTATGCTAAGCACTCTAGGAAGCCAGGAGCTCAGTCTGGCATGATGTGAGTGTTGGGGAGGGAGGGCAGCTTGACACGCAGCAGGGACTCAAGGTCAACAAACAGCATCAGTGACACTGAAAGGGGAAGTTACAAAGCGCACTGTCATTAGGGCCTAAACCAAGTACCTGCATGGTGACGGCAGGGGAAGGCCATGCTTGTTTCCTGGGATAGTATATCTGGAGTAGATGGCTGGCAACTCTCAAGACAACCCAGCAATAAATTCCCAGTAATTAGTGCATCCTGCCCTTCAGGAGATGGGCAACACCATGGATGGAGAACCAAGTTCTATGACTTTAATGTTGGAGAAAAAGTTCATGCTTGCTTTGTATACAGCAGTCGCCTGCTCTTCAGGTTAACAGTGGAGTAGAGGAGGATGGCCTGGATGCTTGGACTTGAAACATGCACCATCTATTTTCTTTTTTCTAATCCCCCTCCTTTTTTTTTTTTTTTGTTTGAGACAGCACTGTGTAGCTGTCCTGGAACTAGCTCTGTAGACGAGACTGGCCTCGAACCCATAGAGATCTACCTGACTCTGTTTCCTGAATCCTGGTATTAAAGGCCTGTGCACCACTACCTGATACACCTGTCTATGTTCTAAAACTTGCTTTCTTGAAAGGCCATTGGGGACATGGGCCAGGCAAGGGCATAGGTGTGGTGCATGAACCAGGAGCTTGCTCCCTACTTCTTCCCAACATTCAGTCTTAGAGGCATGGTTCAGAATTGAGAGGAAGGGCCTTGGTTATTTCAGTTTAAAACTACTCACACACACTTACCTACAACACACATCTATCTATCTATCTATCTATCTATCTATCTATCTATCTATCTATCTATCTATCTATCTATGGTTTTTCAAGACAGGTTTCTCTGTGTCTGTGTAGCCCTGGCTGTCCTGAAAGTCTCTCTATCGACTAGGGTGGCCTAGAACTCACAGAGATCCTTCTGCCTCTGCCTCCTGAGTGATGGAACTAAAGGCATGTGCCACCATGTCCAGCTCACCAACAATGTTCTTAATTTATCATTTATCAGGAAGTTCAGCATGGAGACAAACATTGCAACATTAGTGGTAACAGCTATCAACTTGGGGATTTTATAACAGTAGTAACACATAAAGATAAATGTTCACTATGTAAATAAAATAAGTTCACTACATACTGGGTAATGTAAAGTTGTGAACATAAAAATATCTTGGTATTTGGGATGTGCTATTACTTAGTCACATTATTATTATTATCATAATCATCAATGGCTTACTTATTATTAACAGGCTTAGTAAACTGAGCCTCTATTTCGTTCCTCTAATCCCAGCACTCAGGAAGCTGAGGCAGGACTGTGAGTTTAAGTCTAGCCTGGGCAACACAATAAGTCTGTCTTAAAAACAAACACAAAACAAAAAGTGGGCATTACAGTAACAACTGGATATCCATATTGTTTAACTGTTTCAACAAGGCAGAAAAATGGATTTTTCTAAGGTCACTCAGCAGTCTGATAGAACCCACAGTCTATAGAAGGAAGGCTATTCTACCTTCCATTAGTAAATCACAGGCAGACAGGCTTTAGAGGACTCTGGAGAAGACAGGAGGGGCCGTGGGGTACTCCAGAGAAAACTGCCACCCAAGAATAAGGGCACTGATGGCACAGTGACACTTCATAGGGGTAATCTATGAAGCCTGGCCATGACTCTACCCTGCTTCAGAACTTAGATGTCTCTGGAAGAGGTTCTTGGACTTTTTGGTCGCATATTCCCTTTGGATGCTAGAAAAATCATGAAGACTCCAAAGAGAGTTATTGGGCCTTGTCTACTGATCCTTCCACATTAGAGACTAAAACATGCTCAACATGTTCAGTTACTTGATTATCTGAAGATAAGAATGCACTGAAGCTATAGAAAACCACACAAACTTTGTCCCACAGTCTACAGATCCCTTGCTAAAGGACCTGTGGATTTGAGGAGCTAATGTTGCTTTTGGGATTAGGTATTTTGTCTTTTGTTCAACAAAGAAATTACAAGGTCCTTACTGAACCCCTGCCCAAATTATTTTTCTTTGCACTACTTAAAATATGACAGAATAAATTAATGTTTAGTAGAAGAACAAATTTCACTCTGGATAAGCTCTGACAACTGATGACAGTGACAGTGGTGCTGATGGTGATGACAGCAGTGGTAAGGCGAACACCTTCCACCGTTAGGCTCCATGGAGAGCACTTTACACTGTTGAAGTGACAGAACTGAGACTCGATGGGTCATGTAGCCACCCAAAGCCATAAGGCCAGTTGGTGGTAAAACCAGGACGCAAACACTGTCTGGTTCTAACCCCAATCTCTGCATCCAAAAAGGCCACCTCCTGCTGTCTTTCCAGTAAAAGATGCCTTGGGTCCTTGAACTTCCACATGAGTAGCAGTATCACCAGGAAGACTGCAGTCTTCAAAGTTGATGTACCTGCTTTCCTCACTCAATTGTGTGGTTCTGAGGGACCTCAAGATGTCTTGTTTAGGCTTTTTCAAAGCCATTTCAGCCATGCCGAGCGCATACGAGGCATAGGTAGATGGCTGTAGAATAAATAAGAGTGTGGACAGACCCCTTTATGACATTCAGATGAGACTGGGCATGTTCAGAGTGCTATCGCCGTAGACTCTGTGATATTAAAAAGACACAGTCACTGTGCTGTCCTTCCTAATCATGGGGGCAGGTCTAACCTTCACTGCTCCCAAGGACATTTTCTGTGTATCTGCCACACTTCTGGAAATCTCAGGCACAGAATTAAACACTGATGTTTAGTGACTTTTCCCCTCTAATGCGATTAAGCCATTAAATAGAGATGGGCAGGGCAGTCAGGAATCCTTTCCTATTCTCAGCCGGTTCCTTGTTACATGTATTACAGGGCAGAAAGCCTTGCCGTGATGAACTCGGAATGGTATTTAGAGAAGTCAGAGGCTTTTAATAGCAGGTAATAAACAGTGGCCACGATGCATGGTAGTTAGTGTCTACTGTTCTCTGCAATGACATAATAAGTAATTCTTCCACTGGGATAGAATCTGGAAGAACAGCCAGCAGCACATCAGAACAGCAGCTATTTTACTGTTGAGTAGAGTTGACGTGGTACTTGGGAATATATACCATGGTTATGACTTATGTGGGCACAAAGTTGGAAAGGCTGGTGCTTTCCATCTGTCTTTAAGGAACTCCTTACTAAAGCAAAAGCACACTGTATGTGACCCAGGGGAGTTAGAGGCAGAGTCTTGGAAAAGAAACCCGAAGGAAGACTAAAGGACATATTTCCAACTTGAAATCCAAGACTCTGGAGAGATGTTTCCAAATTATCGGGCTCAACAGATAAGTCAGGCAACGTGCCCAGGCTGCTCTGCATCTCTTATTTATCACACTAACTTGAGATGCGCTTATCAGTGCTGTAACCTAGGGAGCAGCACAGTGCTGTGTGCTGCAGCTGCCATGCCTTGCCAAGGAGCTAGAGCACCCTTCTCCTTAGGACACAGTGGTGGGGAAAAGCCACTGCAGGACCAGCTCAACTGGAGCTGGTGGAGGCAGGTGAGACTATGCCCTAGAAGCTGGCTCAAGGTTTCTGAGCTAACTGCTCAAATGGTCCAAAGGGATAAGATGCCCTGAAACTGTGCAACTTGAATTTCCTCGGCCCATGTATTTTGTAACCCTCCTGCTCTGAAGAGAAAAGGCTGTCTGGGACACCTGATAAAAAGATGAAGTGCCGTTGGAAGAACTGTTCTGATTCCCGATTCAGGGTTTCTCCTCGGTTCTGCTGGGCCACCTTAGGGTGGAGAACACCAGGCACAAGGGTGGAAATACCTTTCTCCATGAGTGGAGAGCCAAGGCCTCAGACCCCAGGCACTACACATCCAGGCTCTGAGCCCCTCCTGATGTTTCCTATCACATGTAGAGCTGCTCAGAAACCTTGCCATAAGTAGGGCAACAGTTGACTCCAAATGTTTTTTCAGCCTCAGCCTCAACCAAGCGCCTTTGTATGGGAAGAGATGCTTGTGGTTGACTTCATACAGATTTCAACGTGGCAGCTACATGTGAGCTCTACTTAGCCTCCAGAGTTCATCATTCAAAGGCACCCTCGAGGCAAAAATTTTGTTAGGTAAAATTAGGAGGCTTAGTTAGGTGTGGTTACTCTGTGCTTTCACAAATAGGGGCCCTGGATGAAGATCATACATTTCTATTCTGGCTGCCCTCAGGACTGTCTGGTAGGACTGGACAAGCAGATGCAATCAGAAGAAGCCTGTAATTCCTTTCTCTTCTTGTGTCTTCTCAGCACGAAAAAGGTGAGACCTTGTCTGCATAGTGACCTGGCGCTTATCCCAGGGCGAGGAGCAATGGACAGTTGTCAGGTTATGTGTGAGAAACATCCTTTACCAAAAGAGAGGCAGCAGTAGACACACAGGACACATGCTTGCCAGGATTTGGGGAGCTCGTTGCTCCCCAGCCCTGGAGGGTTAACTGGATTGCTTCATGTGAAAAACATGGGAGAGTGATGGGAGCATGTGGCTGCTACACCCCACTCATCACCCACAGTCTCTCTGCCTCATGCTGCTGCGGCCCGTACCCGCCTTCCTCACAGCTTTTCTGAAAAGAAACCAAGCCACTCTAGCATCAGGCGTGTAAAAATCTCTTGCTGATGGAGCCTGGAGCTCATTTCTGTCTGTCCCCTAACGGGTCAGTGTTAGCTGTCAATAGACTTCATTCAGTGCCAATCACCTAGAAACTGTGCTCCCAAAACAATTAGAGTAAGGAGAGAAAGCAGTCATTTGTTTTTTGTTTTCCCCTAAAGACCCTGAGGTCTTAACTGCAATTGGAATGACTAAGCATCCGGCCAGCCTGCCTGCTTAAAACATTCTCATTTTAATAGGCAAAGACTGTTCTCTTAAGCAGGGCTTGGAAATGCACCTGTCCAATACTGCAGCCTGCTGGCAGCTATGACCTGCTGGTCTCCACACCTGCCTCCTCCACATCAGCGTGTCCTGAGGAGATCAGCAACAGCTCGCAATATTTTGGAGGAAGAAGATATGAGAGAGACCACTCCTATTTCAGCCACCAAATCAGGTATATTGTCTGTACCTTTCACTTTACATTAAAGTTTGGGTTCTCCCCTTGGTCTGTCTGTCTTGCCTAGAAGGCCATGCTGCTTCTCTAAGGCAGTGGCTCTCCCACTATGCTACCATACATTTTCCTTGTCTGTGAGCATCCCCGCCCCCCCTCTCTGTGGCATGTCCATCACTGTGACAGCAAGGCCAAGGCCACAGCAGCTTAGCAGACAACTGCTGCCTCCTGCTGATCCCACAGTCCACGCTGCCTCCCACTGGCTTCTTCTAACAAATGTAGGCCATCACTCTTAGTAAAAGTTCCATTTTACCTCAAGTGAAGAATAGACTAAGATGGTCACGCCCACAGCTCCAAGATAAATCTGTTTCCTAGCCAATTGAACACAGTCTCCTAAGAAGAAGACATTCTTTCCAGGGGAAAGCCTTAGGACAGGAGCCCACGAGGCAGGGAGAGACAGGGCTATGTCATCTCCAGGGGGCATGCGAGGCTGAAGCAGTACTGACAAGCCTGGTGGGCCAAGTGGTCACACAGAAGCATGAAGGGAAGCCATTCACAAGCATGCAGGGGGTGCCAGCTGTCAGCGTGTTCCACACTGGTGGCTCTGGGTTGGAGACAGTACCTTCTGGAGGACTACAGCGGGCAGGTGTTTCCTCAGCAGCTTATGCACCCCACTATACTGTCACTTGGCAGCCATTAAGTGCCCTCTGCCTGGGGAGGCTGCTCTAAGCCTAGCATGACTACCTAGGATTGTAGTGCCTTGGGGCACACCTGCCAGGCTTGGTGCTGCCCTGTCTGGATGCCCACTTCTCTACTGACTTTCCAACTGCTTGTAATTCCATTCAGTCTTGTTTAAAGAAAGGTATCACAGAAGTAATTAAGAAAAAATTAAATTAAATTAATATTGACTAAATATAAATAGCAAAGAAAGGCTGTAATTGGAAAATGGTGTATCTATTAGGACTTTTAAAAAATTGTAAACTTCTCAAAAATAGTAGGGGCTATCACTAATGTTTTTATACATATTTTCTTTCAAAAAATCTGCTTTATTAGTGAGGAACAGAGAATAAAATATGACATTTGACAATCTACTTTCAGATTGTGATACTCATGATGGAAAGTGAAAACCCACTTGCATTTTGAACTCTCTTCTCCATCTGACTCTAAATTCTGCCTTTTCATTATCTTATTCTCCTGCTCTGGGTATTTACTCCCCAACAGGGTAGCAGCCTTCACTTTCACAGGACGGTTGGAGCCAAGAGCCCCAGTCAGCATTGTTGTTTTCTTACATGTTTGGAGAGGGGAATGAAACATCGTTCACCCTGTTGTCCCCAACAGCAACCTGAAAACAGGGCCTCTGGGGGTCAGGTCCAAGGAGAGAGAGGTAGCGTAGAGGGAGCCTCGGACCCACGCAGTCTCTTCAGACGCTCCACCTGCAGAGTTCCTTCCTCAAGAGTCTGCTTCCAGGGCTACATCTCAAGGAGGAAGGCATGTGCCTGGGCCTTAAACTCAGGGTCAGTCACTGCCAGACCACCAGGCACATGTAATTATGGCTGACATCTACATTTTTCAGATGAGGTGGAAATCTTCCTCTGCAGACCTGGCCCTTCTCAGAGACTTGGACCTGTTTTATAAGAACATGTAAGTCTTTTGTATAAATGTGGCAAGTCTCAAATGAAGCAATATGACTCTTAAAGGCTTTAATGTAGCCTAGTTTTTGGAAAATCAGATTTTTTTTTTTTAACTTTCTCAGAGGAACTTGGTTTAAAGAGGCCTGGTGGTAGGTTTTTTTTTTTTTTGTTTGTTTTTTTAATGATGAGCTTTAATGTAATAAAAATGTACCTCTTTCCTATTATGGATTAATTTTATTTATTTGTGTGTGCGTGCATGTGTATGTGTAGCTTCAGCAGTCATGTGTCAGAGCCTCTGGAGCTGGTGTTACAGGCCACTGTGAGCCACTTGGGTCCTGAGTTCTCTGGAAGAGCAGGACACACTGGTAACTGCTGAGCCATCTCTGCAGGTGCATGGCGAAGAGTGGCAGTCACACACGTTCCTCTAGGTCAGAGGTCCTTCTCTCCTGCTCTCTGTGGCCCTAGCGCAGGCCCTTTCCTTGTGTTCCTTCCTCAGTAGTCCTCAGGGAAGCACTGCCTCCTGTGTTTACACCCTGGAGTCTCAGGCCATGTGCCTCAGGTGGCGGAGTGGGCAAGCAGGTGGCAGCGAGATGACCATACCATCCCAGCATTCCCAACACTCGAAAACCACAGTACACATTCAACAGTGGCGGGAGCTGTGACTCCGGAGACCCTGGCAGGGTTAATAGATTGGAAAACTACTTACTAACTGAAAAGAGGGAGGGAAAACCATGAAAGTGTGCTTCTGGAGAGTTGCCTTGGGACAACAGATCAAACCAAAAATTAAAACCAAGAAACAAAACAGTCGAAACTCAAAATTAAAGCTTGAAAAGCAAAGGAGGTTCTAATAACCTTCCAACTGTAAGTCTGGCAGGCTAGAATATGACTTTCTGTTCCCACTAACTGTGACTTTTGTTTTAAGTGAAGAAGGCCAATCGGGCATCCCCCTCCGCACTGACATGTCCACCCAGCACATGGAAACTGACCTGTTCGTGCTATGTGTTTTGTTTCCAGAGCAGGAAATTCCAAAAGGAAGAGAAAAACAATGAGAGCAGGTTTTCTCCCCACGCATTAACTCTAACTCTAGGCCCATCGCAGTGCAGACCTGGGCTGGTTGTCATTGTCAGGCAAGAGGGCTGAAATTCTTTACAATTAGATCAAGAAGTTATTATCAGTGGTTTTCCTTCTCAAAACTAACAAGGAAGAACGATAAGGAAGAACGATACTTGGGAACAGCTGGTTGCCAGCCAGGCACTCCCTGAGGATGGAACAATGGCTCATGGTGTCACCGAGAATCACCACGGAGCACGGGCAGGCGCATGCCACATTTAGCAGGGAGCCCAGTGGGTACTCATTGCTCCAACAATTTACTAATTAGTTTGATTTGAAGGGCCCCACTGGAAGAGCCAGATTTTCAGAAGAAACTCAGAGCTCCCAGGATGGTAAAAACTGGCAGGGTGCACAAGTCGGTGGGTTTGCTGTACAAACCAGTGGGCAGTGGAAACATAAAACATTGTTCTAGAACCCCAGGATCTCATTTAAGAAAATAAACTCAACAAAAGCCAATGCAAGAGAAAAAACTTTTTTCCTGAAAAGAAAAAAAATCAAAGTTGGCAATTTCCCCTAGGCACTGTATTAAGAGAAAGTGATGGTCTGAGGTACATAAAAAGATAACATTAACAGTTTATAAATACCACTTTTATCTTCCATTTCACGGAATTGGACCTGCCATAAAAGAAGCTTGGAATATGCTGTATGCAGATGAGTGGGGTCAAGAGTCACTGTTGGTGTGAATGTGACTTTGGATGACCTCTGTTCCTGACCTGTAAAGGCTTATGTAACAGTACCAGCCACCCTAAAGAGCACACCAGACAGAGCGGTTCCTCCTGGCAGCAGCCTGTTATGGGCTTTTGTTCAGCATGTAACAGCATTTGGAACAAAGACGAGCCCGTATAAATCACAGATGCAGATTAAATCTGCTGGCGCTGCTGGCAGGAGAGTGAACATTAAATAGATGAGTGAAAGAAAGCAAGGGCGGGCTCTCCTGGTGAGCACCATATTTAGGTCCCTTTTAAGGACTTCACCAACCAGTGGGTTTCATTTTAATATGGGGATTTTTTAAAACAACTACTTCCTAAAGCAGACTTTCAAGGTTTCTGCATTATTTAAAATCAAAATTAGGCAAAGGTGCTGTTCAGTTGCTCCACACTTTCGTGACAGAAACCCTACATCTCCATTTTTGCAATTGAAAGCCAGTTTCCAACAGCATTTCTTGGTGTGCTCTGTAACCTGCTGGCACTGGCCTCAGGAAGGTGCTGGGCTGCAGAGCTCCAAGAGCTTTCCATCCATGTGACAGGCAGGTGAACGCCGTCTTTAGACTATGGCTACCGCTGTTAGATGTGGTTGGAATTAACTTCCAAATCGAAATGCAGACATTTTGCAAAATATTATTGCTTGCCTTTTCTTTTACGCATGTGTCTATGCATGTGTGTGAGGTCACACGTGTGTGTAAGTGCATGTGCATGAGTTTGTGGGGGCAAAGATCATCTTGGGCGAGGTTTCTGTCTCGGTTTTGTTTTGCTTTGAGACAGAGTTTGAAAAGTAGCCCTGGCTGGCCCAGAACTTGCTATGTAGCCCTGGCTGGCCTCATGCTCACAGAGATATGACTGCCTCTGCCTCCCAAGGATTAAAGGTGTATGCTGCCACACCCTTCACATCACCTACTGGGTGCCTACCTTGTTTTTTAAGACAGGGTCTCCCACTGGTGTGGAACTCACCAGATAGGCAGGCTGGCTGGCCAATGAGCCTTGGCAATCTGCCTGCCTCCGTCTCTCTAACACTGGGGTTACAGACGCAGTGCGGTGCCCTGCTTTTAAGTGGGTGCTGGGAACCAAACTCAGGTCTCCTTGCTTGTGTCTCAAGCACTTTGCAAACAGAGCCGTCTCCTCAGCCCTTGACTTTGCTGTACTAGCACAGTTTCCATGCCTTCATGCCTGCTCCAGGAAAGCACAGCTGGACCCAGGACCCAGGAGCGACACCCTGGAAGAGCTTCTTTGTTTTGCTCTGGACCCTACCTCCTTTACTTTCCAGGGGAGGTTAGACTGTGGTCACTATCTGCCGTCTTAGCTTCCCTTCTGTCCCAAACAGTTCTGGGTTTTCAAGTAAGCAAGATCTTTTCCTGACACACCAATAGGGTTTTTTAGCCAGCTTATCAGTTGGAAGATTATCAGAAAATAATACTACAAGCAAATGATGGAGGTCTAAGGAGAAAGGAAAAAACCATGTTTACAGAATGAAGGTTCCGGGTGGGGACCTGGGTCACTGAATGAATGAGCGGCAGGGGGCCACACAAAGATGTCAGGTTTGGGATGAGGATGAAGAGGAGGAGACACAGACAGGTGGAGAGGAGATTCGGTTCTTGAGAGAGAAGAGGAGGAGGAGGAGTCTGACACTAAAAAGTAAAAGAGAAAAAAAAAAAGAATGAAACAAAAAAAACTTTAGAAACACAAAGAAAAAATAAACTAGCTTTTAATATACTCACATAAGCTGCAAAGAAAATGAGGTCATGTAATACAGTCACTGCTCTACTTGAATACAAGTGCTTTTCAAAGAAAACAAATCTGTTTTCCACTGGTTATTTAATTGCTCTGCAACATCATGCCATAAAAATAACTCTGATTTACCTGGGCACCGATTCAGCAGTGTGTGATCCACTGAACATAATCCACCTTTAGCCTACAACATGCAGGCCTTCCGCAGGCCACTCTACACTTCTCAACGCCCACAGTTTTGGTTTTCTAAGAAGCACTTATATAAAGTTCGCTTGGAAACTCAGGTTTCCCAAGGTGCAGTGGGCTGAGAGCAATGGCATATGGTGGTCCCGATGTTGTGCCCATGGAACGATAGGTTTTTTGGGTGGTCTCCTGTTGTGTGCACTGGCTGGCCCTTTGGAAAGGAAGCTTGGACTGCAGCACTCAGGCCTGACAGCCGGGGACTGTCGGTGACGGAAAGACCACCACAGCTGCAACCAGAAACCTTCCCAAACAAAATGCACCAGATTTTCCGGTTAAAAGCCATTTCTCTTTGGATAGGTGTCTGGTGAGACCCACCGATGATTAAAGATAAACCTCCTTACTCCAGATCCTGTTTGGAAGGCAAAAGAAAGAAAAAAAAAATCCCCCCCACCGCTTATTTCAGGAACTACTGACTTATTCCGAAGAAAACAATGGCTCCAAGATTCAAAACTGTCACCCTATTGATTCCTCCTTTTTGCTGGCTGGGACCTCCTAGGGGAAGAAGTGAAGCCAGGGGATAGCAAAAGGGATGCCACCTTCTATAACTGGGGCTTTTGTTGTACTTGTCTGTTTAATAAAACTTAATCAGGGTTTATGGTTTATACTTTAAAAGTTCTTAGATGTATACACAAGTGTATAACTTAGTGATAAGAATTCATTGTATTAGTATCTCTATTTTGGTATCTTTAAATTCTAGAGAAAAACCAAATGTACACCAAGACAATCTACAGCTTCTCAAAAGAGTCTGTGTGCAGTGGGGTCTTCTGGCCCTGTGCCCCACAGTGGCAGGATCAAAAATGGAAAGTTGCGATTGCTTGAGCCCTGGCCTCTTTCTGATTTCAGGCATTGTGTGACTTTGCTTGTGTCAGATGCCCTGAGGTTTAGGAAAATAGGCACCAGGTGTGGCTATCAGTAAAAACACGCTGACACCTGTCAGCCTGGTTCTCCCAGACAGAATCTGATCCGAGAGCCACTCCTGTTAGCTGAAAGCCAGGCTGACCTTCCTTTTCTCTTCTGCTCTGTGGCCCAGTCTTTACTAAAGGAGCAAGGCTGCACTGATGTTCAAGAAAAGCCAGCCTCTGCCAGCACCACATGAGCCAAAAACTGTGGCAAAAGAATAAAAGCGCCGGAGATAGTGCTTGGCTGAGTGAGACTCCCTAGTGGAAAGCATGGGGTCATGGAGCACTTGAGGGTTCTGAAACAGAATGAGGACAGTGTCTAGGGATGTGTGGGAAGTGAAGAACATCAGGACTGTGGAGCAGCAGAGGCTGCTCCTGTCAGGGGCAGGAAATAAGGCACGTGCTTATTCGGATGGATAAACAGAAACTGCTAACATGCTGCTTTCGGGAAGAGGGTGACGCTGATGGAGGTGTGCCGTGGAAACAGCGCTTCTCCACTGTACACCTTCAGTTGCTCTGTGATGCAACGGCAAGCTGTCTTTTCTCTTGAAACGAAATCAGAGCAAGAGGAACAGATAAAATCCATGAGCAGCTGAGACAGATGGACTATCCACAAAGGTGTGTAACGTTATGTTAACTGTGCCCTCAGATAACTCACAAGGAACCAAAGAAACCTGGCTTTTACTAATCAATACAGAGGCACCGTCCTAAATCTTCTGACTTACACTCTCATTTCAGAGTGGTTTATGCTCAATGACAAGACTTCCTTTGAGAAGGCCTCCTAGCTCCCTAACCCCCTTCACCTGTTAAAGGATGCTGTGTAAATAGCCCTGAACCACAGCAGGTCAGACAAAAGGGGTTTTGGAGGGTTCATTTACATAGTCAATGGGAAGGTCACTGGAAGATGTCTGGGAGGGGTGGTCTCCACTGCTGTTTTGTAGGTACACAGGAACCAGAAGTGCAGATTCCAGAGACTTTTGGATTTCCTTGGAATAAGAGACCTTTCCAGAGGATCAGTTACATGAGTGGCACTATGACAGGGCAGACCAAACAGCCGGCAGTTACTCTAGCCGGGACCATGCCGTCCACTTGGACAGCGCAGTACTTGAGAAGGCTTATCGTGCAGAGGACACTCTTGACAGCCCCAGGGAAGGTGTTCCTAGGAGCAGAGGGCAGCAAGAAGAGGGGCCTCTTTCTGTAGCTCTCTGCTATTGATAAACAGGTCTCATTCTTGGGACTGCAAGAGAAATTAAGATCTGAGCCAGCAGAAAGGAAAGAGGCTGAGTTTTAGTGCAGCTGCTCTCGTGGGATACTGAGGAAGAGGCCAGAGGGGCTGCCAGGTCTCAGCAGCCACAGCAGCAATTTGGAATCAGCTTGAATTTCAGCAGTGGCCATAGTTAGCGCCCCTGGCTTTCCTCTCTCCTTGTCCCAGCCTCACCTCATTTTGACTAGAGCCCACAGCCTGACCTTTCCTTTCTCTAAGGGCCTTCACACCCCCTCTGCCGGGATGACTGTGTCCACAAGGCAGGGCTTTGCCCTGGACTGGGCGCCCGCCCACAGCTGCTGACCAACCTGGGGGCCCACTGCAGGAGTGGTGTGTGGTCGCGTCAGTCTGCGCACCTGCTGACCTGCTTGCACTGTCGAAGCACAACTGGTGTCATTTCTTATGTCCAGAAATCATTAAAACAGGAGGGCCTAGGATCTTTGGATGGAATTCCTTAGGCTGATTTTGAATTTGGTGGAAGGGAGCCTTGGCAGGAATGAGTCAGCAAAAGCTGGGATGGGTTCTGGGAGCACCACCAGGCTCCTGGGGCCCATTCCTCCCACCCAGTTAGGGGTGGATTTTCCAGAGGATGGGTCCAGGTTTTCTTCAGAAGGACTTTGTCATGGGCAGGGATGTGCCACAAGGACAGGAAAGAGACCCTGAGGCTCCTTCTGAAGTCAGCCCATAAAGGATGAAGTGAGCCATATAGAGACCAAGGCTTGCAGCATCCCTGTTGGGTGATGTGGGGAGAAGCGGCGGAAGCTGCTTCTAATGGTGTTCTAGAACTACCCCTAAGGCTTGAGACTAAGTGAATTTCATTATGTTTTGTGGGTCTGCGGGGTCCCCAAATAGTCAATGACTACCTAGCATTACTGCCGGAGCTGCCTGTTTGCAGCTATGAAAATTAGGGAGGCGTACTTACTTCCTGCACCCCGGGAGCTGTGGACACTCGAACTTGGAGCACACTACCCCCAGAGGTCTTTACCAGCCAAGTAGAAACATTTGCGCGGAGGCAGTAAGTGCTAGGGGTCACCACATGAGGACAGTACAACTAGTTCAGAAGCCCCTGCCACCCGACAGGCCCTCCTTCTGGAAGCATGTGTGTTTATATATGTAACTGATTAGACGTCGGAACGGCTACTTTGAACAAGGGCAGAAGCCTGCAGGAGACAGAGCAGAGAGGAAACCATGCAATTGTAGTTTCAAAGTTTAAGTTCCCAGAGCAAGGGGAAACAGACTTAGGAAAGGGTGAAAGACACTCCTTTCCTCACTGTGAGTGGACACGGGAAAGTGAGACTGAAGAAGTGCATCTCGGCGAAGTGTCCAGTCCTTTACCTGTGGCCTCTTCCCGCACTACCCCAACCCGCCTCACCCTCCACTCTTCTCTGGGGGACCGCCAACCTCAAATACCAACACAGCACCTGGCCCCACCTTCTGCTCACCCTCACCTCACCCCCCTCTGGCCTTTGATTCTCACCTGTCTCAGGATCACTGAAGTCTGGCAAAGTGATTGTATTAAGCTGTCTTCTGTCAGCGATGGTTCTATCTAAGAGGCTGCTCCCACGTCCAGAGTCACTGCAAAACACACTGTAAATGTCAGTCGCCCAAAAGATGAAGGTTTAGCTGGCACAGAAGGCTGGAGCACAGGATTCTCATGTGTCTGGATGTGCCTCACATCCTTCCACACCCCGAAAGTGTCCTGTACCCATGGCTTCAGTGCTGCGTGTCACAAACACAGCTCCAGTGATGCCCATATATCCTTGCAGCTTTTACTCTTATGTCATTATAAGATGCGAGAGAAGATTGGGCTAGTGACATGGCTCAGGAGGTACCGCACTTACCGCTTAAGCCTCTCCCCTGAGTTTGATCTCCAGAACCAATGACAGAAGGAGAGGGCCAACTCCCCAAATTGCCTTCTGATCACCACAGATGTGCTGTGGTGTACATGCACCTGCACACACACACACACACATTGTGTACACAAAGGAAGGAAGGAAGGAGAGACTGAGGGAGGGAGGAAGGGAACAGAGGAGAGAAAGGGGGAGGGAAGAAGAGGAGAGGAGGTGAACTCTTCCAGTCAGTCTTTTTTTTGTTCTCTTGACAGGGAGAGAATGGCTGGCATTCTATGCCTTGAAGCTTTAGAATGAAAGTATCCAGCTCCTGAATGCACTACCCTCCAAGCTGACTTTCCCAATCATACCAAAAGCTTTAAACTCTGTGGCATGAGGAAAATCACCTAGAGCATTTCCGGAACCCTACAGTGGAAGGGTGCCATTCAGACCAGGTACATTAGAATTTCTAGGACAGTCACCATTTCTCAAAATTCCTACAGTTTCCAGGGCAGCTGCTGGATCTGAGGTTTCCTGCCCTCACTTCTTAGTGTGATCGTCCTAAGTTTGAGCGTGCTCCCTGATCAATTTGAAACCCCGTACATGGATAAATTCCCATTTGAGGGAGGAAACGGTGGTGTGAGGTGCTTCTGTAAGCAGTCCCAGCAGAGCTAGGCTGTGGCCCTCTGGCTTCCTGGGCTTAGAAGGCTGGCTACGGGGAACTTGGGGAAAACACAGCATGTTCGGGTGCCTGCCTCTAGACAGCTACTCCCACCAGCTTCCTGCACCGACCATCTCTCTGACACCTCTTTCTCCAGATTGGCCTACAAAACACGCATGGCACAGCATCACTCACTAGCACTGCCACATGGAAACTACTGCAGGCTGAACAGGAGGGAAGCAGTTAGAGGACCTTAGCCCTTACAGAGCCTAAAACACAGTCTACGAAGTAGGTAGAGATCACCACCACCACCACCACCACCACCACCACCACCACCACCACCACCA